TGGTTTTTGCGACTGCACTTGAAGAAACTTTCAAAGTTCTTGAAATTTTCCGTATTGACTGACCTTCATGTCTTAAAGTAATGATGGACTGTCATTTCTCTTTGCTTATTTGAGCTGTTCTTGCCATAATATGGACTTGGTCTTTTACCAAATAGGGCTATCTTCTTTATACCACCCCTACCTTGTCACAACACAACTGATTGGCTCAAAGGAAAGAAATTCCACAAATTAACTTTTAACAAGGCACAACTGTTAATTGAAATGCATTGATTGAGAGTGTGCAAAAGTGTCATCAAGGAAAGGGTGGCTACTTTGGTTACTACATGATTCCATATGTGTTATTTCATAGTTTTGATGTCTTCACTATTATTATACAATGTAGAAAATAGTCAAAATAAAGACAAACACTGGAATGAGTAGGTGTGTCCAAACTTTTGACTGGTACTGTACATGCCCTGTCATTGTCCCTGAGGCCCTCTCAAGAATGCAGGGACGTTATGATGACGCTGTTGAGATTCATCACTCTGGCTTGTTTTGTCTTACACGTTATGTACCCCTGTTTATTTGTCTCAGCCAGCACACTATAACTTGATGCAATGTGTGAAGTACTACAGCCGGAAACACGCAGTGTGTGACTTACTACATCTTAAACACATTCAGTGGTAGACAAGGTTAGGCCAGATCTATGTTGTGGCCCTGGATGGACATAAAGATGGACACCTTTGTCCCAGTAACAATTAGGGACATTCATCAGAACAAGGTTAAAAGTGCAGATTGTCCCCCTCAGGGACACCCAATGTCCCTGAAAATATTCTTATAAAAAAAGCAGTTTAAAAAAAGCAGACCAGTGGAACAGGAAGTGGGAGTACACCCCTGACCTTTGACCCTGGTAGGAGGCAGTCATGGAAGGCCAGGATACGTTTAAATCAGGCTAAAAGACTACCTCTCATTGAGTTTCTCAATGGCTTTGCATGGAGGTAGTGTACAATGGAGGGCTTGCACCATGGCAAATGTTCCCTCTATAACAAATGTACAGTATGTGCCTTTAGAACATGGTGGACCTGATTCAGTCAAATGAATCAGAGGAAACAGAGAGAAAAGTCTGAACTTTATGCTGTCACATTGCAATTCCTCATCAAGGTTTTACAAATGCTTTTCATGGCTGTTAAGCTGTTTTGGCGGGAAACCTGCAGAACCCATCAGATCAGACAGACGTCTGTTGTCAAAGACCTTGGACCTTAGAGGTCCCTTTGTGCTACTTCAGTACTGTTATAGCTGTAACCACAGCAACCCAGCTAGAACATGGCTACACTGGGCCATGCATTCTGAGGAGGAGTGACACAGTCGATAAATGTCATTCAGGACAGAGCACACACCTGCCTAGGCTGGCTCTGCCTGGGTTTAAGTGAACCCCTGTGAGGAAAGCTTTTAATGAAAGCTCTTAAAATACCCGCTACATTGATCCAACCTCCAAAGGAAACGGGGAATACTAGACACGGCATCAGTTTTGCTTACATTTGAATAAGTTCTCTGTAGGGCTGTAACAGCAGTTAAGTGCTGCTTAAACTATTTTCTGGCTCGATTTGCAAGGAGGCCAATGGGTACCTTGTAATCCTCGATTAAAATACTATTCCTTATTGGTGATTGAATATGGCGAATTGAAAGAATTTCCATAAATGTGAAGAAATTATTTGTCTGCTTGGCTTTCAATCAATGATTTGTCAAAGACATCAAAAAACACTTTGGTCAGTCTGAAATAAAACAGACAATTAATTCAGGCCTCTCACAATCACATACAGCTTGGTCCTATAGATTCAGTTCTGTTTGATTCAGAAAAGTGTTTCCAAAGCAGAATCAAACCTAGCTGTGGCTCTTGAACAGCCACTCCATATAGGGAAAGCAGTGTTGAGTGGAGGGCTTATTCCTTATTTGTGAAAAGCATTAGCCCCAGTGTTCCACTGTTCCATAGAGGTGTTGTGCTTAGCCCAGCTGCTCCATAAGGGAAAACACCTCCGCACATCCGCCGTGCTACGCCGCCCAAGCTGTAAAAGCTGTTGAAAGAGCAGCACAGAGCCTGGTTCACGTGTCCTCTCATTCTGTCACCACAACACTAGATTAAGGAGTCTTTTTACTCTAATGGAAAAGAAAATAGGCCTAAACTAGACCCCATCTCACAGCTGTCTGTAATCTAGCAAGTGTAATAAATGCACAATGAAACATCAAACACTCAGGCCATGCTAGACGATGATGACACACATGAGATTCAGCAATGTAGCGAATCCTCATGCTTTATTTCTGTAGGACGCGTGTTTCGTGATCTGAAATAATAAATTGAAGTACATGGCAAATTTAAGAGTTAAAGAGGATCGCATGTTCTGGGACGTACATAATTACTTTTAAAGTGGTGAAAAGTAAAGGGAGTTCTACCATTCAAAATAAGGAAGTGAGACAGTTTTCTGTTTGCCTTATTTAGATACTGTAAACAGCAAGGCATTTCAAGCAGTGTTTCCTTGTTACCCATGTTGTTTAATCATGGTATGGTATGTGCTCTCTCTGGCAGTGTGGAACCAACGCTCAATATTTCCATCTCTCCCCGACCCTCCTGTTCCTCCCTCCGTCTCCCAAACCAAAATGTGTACCTCTTCTTGTCAATTCAGCAATGTGAAAAGAATGCATTGATTTCCATCAAATCATTTTAGACCGCATTCACTTCCTGACCATATTTTCTTAATGTTGGTTTCCATGGGATGATGGACTGCCTTTGCTGAAAAACTCAGTTGAGAATGGCGCCATGAGGATTGGTGCAGGAGGATAGGTTTACAGTTACTCACTATTATGTCTTGTTTTCAATTTAGAGAAAAAGGCACCCCTTGCATAGCCTCATTGCTTCACTTTGTTTGTAATGTTATGTTAGTCTTAGTGAGCAGAACCGCCACAGTTCTAGCGTCCACCTGTAGATCTGTCAACACAACGCACTACACGTATCTGTGTGGGATTTATGAATGTTGACTGATGTGATAAGAGTATTATGGATGTTATGGTTGTGATAACATAACAGCGGCAATGCGCTAGTCTTCTAACAGACAAAAAGGGACAGCCGAAGAACCCTTTTAGGTTCTAGATAGCACCATTCTTTCTAAGAGTGTAGTGAAGAAATCTTTTCATCCTATGCTGGAGAAACCACAACTTTATATGATTCATCAGCTCTTCTCTGCCAGATTTATTCTATCCATCACTCACCGCCTTCCCTCTGACACTCCTGCTGCTTACCAGCCTCCCCCACAGTAACAACCCCTATGCCATAGAGCAGAACACGCTAACGCTAACTAGGGATATTAGGCTAGGAGCTAGGCTAGAATGCTGTTTTGATTAGCAGACTTTACGAGGTGATAGCGACTGGGTATCCAAAGAAAGATTGAATGTCTTGGCTCACGCTAGCAGTTCATGTCCATGTCTCGGGGGTTGGAAAAATAGTATTTCCACTTATCAGCAGAGTGATGGAGAACATGCACAGACCTACTTTATCTGTAGTTTGACTGTGAGGGTAATTGTAGGTAAACTACAGTAGGATTATGCATGATTTTCCCCTTAGATTGACTGGTTACATTTGGAGACCACACAATTAGCAGCTTTCTGCTGATTTAAGGTGTGGTATTCTTTTCTCTCAGAAATGTTCTCAAGAAAATAAAAATGGTTTTCCATCCACGCCTGGGCTGTTAAAAACTGGCCAATCAAGCCTAATGTGTGCTATGATTGTAATGACAACCAGTCACTTTACAACACATCTCTTTTCCTCTTCCCAGGTTAACACCATGAGTTCTGCCAGGAGGGTGTGGGAAGGAGCCTGAGGAAACTATGATAATTGATGTTTATTTATTGTCATCGAAATATTCAACACAGTGCAATCAAACACCGCTCCTCTTGAGAATATGACTGCCGCACCTGGGTCCAAAAAATCTAAAGACAAAAACAAAACGGGATGTCAGAAACCCAACAGATATTCTCTAAAGGTATGCAAGACAGCTTCCCCAGAGAGAGAGAGCGAGAGAGAGAAGAGAAGAGAGAGAGGGAGAGAATAATTTCACAATTTGGAAACTTGAAGCTCTGGGGCTGAGTTCTGACAGTGCCCAGGACTGTCAGTACAGACTGGCCTCTCACTCTCTCATCAGCACACTGTAGCTCACAACACAGACCAGAGAAACAGGCATGCCCACTGGAGACTAAGTGGAACTGACATTTACCAACGTAAAAACATGAGTTTCAACATATCAAAGCAGACAGCGTGTCTTTTTCCTGTCTTCGCTCTGTCTGTTTGGTTCACACCCCCCTCTTTTTCTCTCTCTCTTTGCATTCCTTGAGCTCAGATGTGAAATGCAAATAAAGAAGACAAAATAGAAATACCGTTTTTGAGACCTGACTAGAGGAGTAATATTTTTGTCTCTGTCAATTGACTTCTACTGGCCTGTGGGTAGACTAGGCCTAAGTGTCCTGTCCTCTCATCTAAAAAGTTGGATAGAGCCTCTCTTTTACATCTAAATGTCCAGAATGTATAGAATGCCTTTTGACTGACCAAACAGCCTTCCAGTTGTGTGTAAATCAATGTTGACCCCAAGGGTCATGTAGCACCACCTGTTGTGCTTATCGCCTTTTATTTCCCCTGCTGGTACAGCTTGTCGACAGACAGACAGACAGACAGACAGACAGACAGACAGACAGACAGACAGACAGACAGACAGACAGACAGACAGACAGACAGACAGAGTACAGTATAGTCAGGCCTGCTGTTCACATAGCAGCCAGTCAACCATACGCTAGCTAGCTGCTCTGGTAGCAGGAGAGGAAGTCTAGCTCCAGACCAGAAACACTCACAGATGGCCAGTGTTTCCTTGGTAGACTGAAACTGCTGTGTGAAGGGGGTAGGGGGTTAGGGGATAGGGGTTGAGGAAAAGGACATTATAATGTAATACAGAGCTCATGCTTTTATGCCTATGTGTGGCCAGATGTTGAGTGGAGAAGGGGAGAGGGTGAGAGGGGTCAGTCTGTTGGGACTGTTAACTACTCTGGCCATGGGCCCACTCTGAAATGGGACTAATTAGAGAGAGAGATTGACTGTTTTTTCCCCCAGTGAAATGTCGCCGGAGAAGATGGCTGCCGTTTTACAGCCCTCTAACCAATTGTACTATTATGTGTGTTTTTTCGTGGTACTTGTAATTTATTCTGTACATAATGTTTCTGCCACCGTCTCTTATGACCAAAAAGAGCTTCTGGATATCAGGACAGCGATTACTTACCTCGTATTGGACAAAGATTTTTTCTTCAACGAGTCGGACGCGAAGGATATTCTACAGACACCCGACAAGGCCCAAATCCCCATCATTCGTATTAGAAAGAGACGGAGATATCGTGGACGTAGGTCGGGGTGCCTTGTAAGGATCCAACGGCGAGCAAGTAAACTGCCTCTTCCATCAATCCTATTAGCCAATGTTCAATCATTTGAAAATAAATTGTACGACCTAAGATTAAGGTTATCCTACCAGCGGGACATTAAAAACTGTAATATCTTATGTTTCACCGAGTCGTGGCTGAACGACGACATAGATAACAAACAGCTGGCGGGATATACGCTAAATCGGGAGGATAGAATGGCTGACTCCGGTAAGACAAGGGGTGGCGGTATGTGTGTATTTGTAAACAACAGCTGGTGCATAAAATCTAATACTAAGGAAGTCTCAAGGTTTTGCTCGCCTGAGGTAGAGTATCCCATGATAAGCAGTAGACCACACTATTTACCAAGAGAGTTTTCATCTATATTTTTCGTAGCTGTCTATTTACCACCACAAACCGATGCTGGCACTAAGATTGCACTCAATGAGCTGTATAAGGCCATAAGCAAACAGTAAAACGCTAATCCAGAGGCAGCGTTCCTAGTGGCCGGGGACTTTAATGCAGGAAAACTTAAATCCGTTCTACCTCCTTTCTACCTGCATGTTAAATGTGCAACCAGAGGAAAAAAAACTCTAGACCACCTTTACTCCACACACAGAGATGCGTACAAAGCTCTCCCTCGCCCTCCATTTGGCAAATCTGACCATAACTCTATCCTCCTGATTCCTGCTTATAAGCAAAAACTAAAGCAGGAAGCACCAGTGACTCGGTTAATAAGGAAGTGGTCAGATGACGCAGATGCTAAGCTACAGGACTGTTTTGCTAGCACAGACTGGAATATGTTCCGGGATCCTTCCGATAGCATTGAGGAGTAAACCACATCAGTCACTGGCCTCATCAATAAGTGCATCGATGACGTCGTCCCCACAGTGACCGTATGTACATACCCCAACCAGAAGCCATGGATTACAGGCAACATCCGCACTGAGCTAAAGGGTAGAGCTGCCACTTTCAAGGAGCGGGACTCTAACCCGGACGCTTATAAGAAATCCTGCTATGCCCAGGCAAAGAGTCAATACAGGACTAAGATTGAATCGTACTACACCGGCTCTGACGCTCGTCGGATGTGGCAGGACTTGAAAACTATTACAGACTACAAAGGGAAGCACAGCCACGAGTTGCCCAGTGACACAAGCCTACCAGACGAGCTAAATCACTTATATGCTCGCTTCGAGGCAAGCAACATTGAAGCATGCATGAAAGCATCAGCTGTTCCGGATGACTATGTGATCACGCTCTCCGTAGCCGATGCAGGCCCAGACGGATTATCAGGACGTGTACTCAGAGCATGCGCTGACCAACTGGCAAGTGTCTTCACTGACATTTCAACATCCCTGACTGAATCTGTAACACCAACATGTTTAAAGCAGACCACCATAGTCCTTGTGCCCAAGAACACTAAGATAACTTGCCTAAATGACTACCGACCCGTAGCACTCACGTCTGTAGCCACATAAATACCATTATCCCAGAAACCCTAGACCCACTCCAATTTGCAACAGATCCACAGATGATGCAATCTCTATTGCACTCCACACTGCCCTTTCCCACCTGGACAAGAGGAAAACCTATGTGAGAAAGCTATTAATTGACTACAGCTCAGCGTTCAACACCATAGTGCCCTCAAAGCTCATCACTAAGCTAAGGACCCTGGGACTAAACACCTCCCTCTGCAACTGGATCCTGGACTTCCTGACGGGCCACCTGCAGGTGGTAAGGGTAGGTAACAACACATCTGCCACGCTGATCCTCAACACGGGGGCCCCTCAGGGGTGCGTGCTCAGTCCCCTCCTGTCCTCCCTGTTCACGGCAGGCACGACTGCCGACGACACAACAGTGGTAGGCCTGATCACCGACAACAATGAGACAGCCTATAGGGAGGAGGTCAGAGACCTGGCCGTGTGGTGCCAGGACAAAAACCTCTCCCTCAATGTGATCAAGACAAAGGAGATGATTGTGGACTACAGGAAATAAAAGAGGACTGAGCACGCCCCCATTCTCATCGACGGGGCTGTAGAGGAACAGGTTGAGAGCTTCAAGTTCCTTGGTGTCCACATCACCAACAAACTATCATGGTCCAAACACATCAAGACAGTCGTGAAGAGGGCACGACAAAGCCTATTCCCCCTCAGGAGACAGAAAAGATTTGGTGTGGGTCCTCAGATCCTCAAAAGGTTCTACAGCTGCACCATCGAGAGCATCACCGCCTGATATGGCAACTGTTCTGCGTACGGCCCAGTACATCACTGGGGCAAAGCTTCCTGCCAGGACCTCTATACCAGGCGGTGTCAGAGGAAGGCCCTCAAAATTGTCAACGACTCCAGCCACCCTAGTCATAGACTGTTCTCTCTGCTACCGCACGGCAAGCGGTACCGGAGCACCAGGTCTAGGTCCAAAAGGCTTCTTCACAGCTTCTACCCCCAAGCCGTAAGACTCCTGAACAGCTAATCATGGCTACCCAGACTATTTGCATTGCACGATGGTATACTGAGCATGTCATATCATGCAATCATATTCAATTATTATGAAACCATCTTTCTTTGCTGCTTATCATCTTTATTCCCCTGATAAGTAACCTGGTTTAAGCCTGGAAATGTCATCTTTATTACAGGTACTTATCATTCTATTGTACAATCTCCGGTGTTCTAGTATTCAGTAAATGGACGCTGCTGTGGGACCCAAGGTAGCATTGGAGCGGTCCAAGTTGTCTGTGTAATGGATGGGAATGCTTCTAATCCGCTGGAAGGGAGAGTTTGTCTAACATTAAATTACAAGCACTGATCCAGAGTGGCCAAATTGTTCCAGATTACCTTTTAGTATGGGATAAATTATCCTATTCACAATGTGTGTGTGTGACTTTTAGTATGGTGTGAATTATCCTGTCCTCAGAGTTTACCACTCCTTGGCATGCTGTCATTCAGGGGGAACAGATTGATGCAGAATTGTCTGGGAGAGACATTTTGAAACATCTGCTTATGTGTGTTTTTGTGCAGGTTTCTAAGTGATTGTGTGTGCATATGGTGGAAGGAAGAGTGTGTGCTGGGACTTGGGGTCTTCTCCTCATGTTTATGGTGTCACTCTCTGGCTGTTAACGTACCCCACCCCACCCCTACACAACACGTGCATGCTGCTATAGAGCACTGGGGATTAGTCATCACACACATCATATGAGTGAGACTGACAATAGCAACAGGCTGTCCAGTTGTAAAAGTTAACATAACTTTCACACTAAAAACGAACCCCTTCTATCCTCACCTCTCCTCTCTTTCTATTCAATTAGAGCTCTCTCTCTCTCCTCGCTGCCCCTAGAGTACATCTCTCTCTCTCTTGCCCGCTCTCTCGCTCACTCTCTCTCTTTCTCTCTCTCTCACTTTCTCTCTCTCACTTTTTCTCTTTCTCTCTTGATTTATTTCTCTCTCTCTCTCTCTCTCTCTCTCTGTTTCACTCTCTCTGTCTCTCTCACTCAATTTTTCTCTCTCACTTTCACTCACTCTCTATTTATGTATCTCACTTTCTCTCTCTCTGTTTCTCTCTCTCTTTATTTATTTCTCTCACTTTCTCTCTCGCTCTCTGTTTCTCTTTCTCGCTCACTTTCTCTCTTTAATTATTTATCTATCTTTCTCTCTCACTTTCTCTCTCACTTTCTCTCACTCTCTCTCTGTTTCCCTCTCTCTCTCTCTCTGTTTCACTCTCTCTCACTCTCTCTCTCTGTTTCCCTCTCTCTCTCTCTCTCTCTGTTTCACTCGCTCTCTCTCTCTCTCTCTCTCTTCATTTCTTTCTCTCACTTTTTTTCTTTCTCTCCCTCTCTCTTCTCTCATCCCTGCCTTCAGTACTCCCTGTCTCCTCTCCCACTTCTCTGATTAATGAGGCTGTGTGTCAGAATTCCCGTTTCCCTGGCCATTCCTTTGCCAGTCCCGGCGCTGAGAGGGAGAAGCAGGAGAGCAAAGAACATGGAGCGTTGAGAGCTTTGTGCCCCTGACAGCTGCGTGAGTTACACCAGGGGCCCGGCTCGGCCCCCAGGCCCCACTAGCTGGCCAGCCACAGATGGACTTAGCAGAGCAAAGAAACTACTTTTCCACATCCATCCATCTCCCTGTGTTTTCATTCCCCAGCCAGTTTTTATAGTGACATGCTAAGTCCTGTGTCGACTGCTTAACATCCACATCTCACACTGAAAGTGACACAGGAACTATTTGGATAACAATTAAATAACAGTTAAAAAGTAGTTTACATACAAATGTTATTTTTCCACAGAGTAGATTAATGGTAAAGGCATCCATGAGTGGGGCTGGACTACCGTCAATCTCTACTGCTATGTAAGGGTTAAGAACTTGCTCTTTCAATGGAATAATTGTTTACCCAGATAGTAGTCTATTTGGCAGCGCTGTAGAACAATCTCCAGAACATCTCTGATAATGGGTTTTTATACAGTGTAGATGTGAGGCAGTTCATGAGTGAGTAGTCCTTAAAATGTCATCATGTAATTCTCGCCTCTATATCTAGCTGGAGTAGACACAGTAGTGTGTGTCACGTTGTGTCCTGGTGCTGAGAGAGCTGGGCCTTGCATTAGCAGTCTCTCTCCATCACTCAGTCAGATGCCATGTGCCAGACTGTTGCTCTTGGCTCAGACAGACAGGAGGGGGGAAATGTGTCAGTCTACTTTGCCCTCAGGCACGTTCTTCTAGACCCCTTATTCTGCAGTAGTGTGTGTGTGTGTGTGTGTGTGTGTGTGTGTATGTGTTCAGTTTCCTACCAGCCTATTTATTCACATGCCTCCCTCTCCCCACCATACTAAACTACATTAGCTTCAGTAGTAGGTAAAGGACATGTTGTCTAAATCACATCCTTATGACTAAGCTAATGTGACCGAATTGTGTTCATGTGAGTGGAACAGGGATGCAGGCAGGCTGAATGAGGCTCTATGTGAACAGGAAGGGGACAACTAAGGGCCTTCTCTGTCTGATTACAACCATGCTCCTCTCAGCTGGGGGAAGTCATCCCTATGGACTATATACAGGACAGAATTATATTGTGGTTATGTGCTATATCAGCAGACAAAATTGGATCCCACACCTTGAATTTAACAGGAATTTGGTTCGGATTGAATGGTTGTTTTTCTCAAAGAGCAATTGACTTTTGAGGCCTACGTGACATGACTTTCAAAGGATAGCCCTCGAGGATTTGATTGAGAAATACACACTTTCATATTTTCTGGGAATCTCTAGTCTTCTCTGGAAAGGATCCCCATAAATCAGAAATGCATGACTTCTTGATCCATATCATCTGTCAATGTGACTTTATGGATGACATATATCATCAATCTGTGTAGCTGGATCATATGTACTGAGGTTACTTATAGGATACAGATGTAGGATCTTAATTTGATCACCCTGTTGAATTAAGAACAATGCAGGACATTTAAAACTTGTAGTGTATTTGATGTTTAAAGGTCACATTTCCAGTTCCTGTAGGATTATTTTCCTGCTGTAGCAAACTGGCTCAAATTAAGATTCTACATCTGTATGTGTATCATGAATCAATTCAGGTCCAGGACAACAGCAGGATGGTTCAATCTGAACCAGTCAGTGTCCCCCGGGCCTAACCCAGACCAGACTACACTGCCATGCTACTCAGTTTCCCCCCACTTCTCCCGCACACGGCTGTCAAATGCCACACCCACACACACACACACACACACACACACACACACACACACCACACACACACACACACTGTCCATCTGTCTGAACGGCACAGCCCAGCACGCGATCTGGCTACAAAGAGAGGACAGAGGGGAGAGGGGCTAAACAGATGTTCACTGGACCACCCTGGCCTGTGTTTGTTCAGTTTGCTCTGGGAACAGAGACACAGATATGCACAGTGTTATGGAGTCTATCTTGTTTGTAATGGCACAGGTTGTTTGGATTTAGCCCAATCCCTGTTTGCATGGGCCTTTGTGAGTGTGCTGCTTTCCTAAAGTGCATACAAGAGTATGCTCATATGTGCATTGGGAAATATGCACCCGCAAGTGTGGCAGGGTGGGGTAGGGTGGGCCTCGATAATCACCCAGTTAGCAAGCTATTAGTCGATCAGCTTCAACTCAGTAAGAAAACGGAACCGTGAGACTGTCCTCAACCCTTCATAATATGGCACAATGTGACAGACAGAATGCCAGAGAACAGAGAACATGCCCCATGTTCTGGAAGAGATTATTCTGTCCTGCTGAGTCACTGTCTTTATGGGGAAAAGGGACACATTGTCTGGGCCTCAGAGGCTGTCAAAGACAGAGGCTCAGGACACAGTTGTTTATGAAGCCAGATGACAGGCTGGGCCTGAAACTTTATTGAGAATGGCATTAATGAGAGAACATGAACCAGTCTGAATCTAGACTGACTGTGTCCAGCAGACTGAGGTCATGAATGGCCCACGCCATGGATGAAGGGCAAGAAACAGCTGGAGGGGAGGGAGAGAGGGAGAATGGACTTTTCTTGGAATGGTGTTTTGCATACTTGATGTGCATTTAGTTTTTTCCTTCATTAGGCTACATCCTTTGGTGTTTGCGATGGTCTCTGCTCCTCAGAGAGTGAAAGAATAGGAAAATAATATACAGACAGTCCTTGTGGGTAGAGAGACCAGAGAGTTGATGGTTCACGTCCTGGGAACCACTTCCCCTGAATAGTCTGTTTGTTTGCAGCAGTATGGACAACAGGACCACCCTCGTCTTCCTGAGGGGATAAAAGTCCTGCAGCTGGTTTGATCATGAGTATAAATCTGAGGTCTTCTACACTGTTCCGGCCTGTAGCCCTGTACACAGAGGTAGAGACTCACACACTGAGGAGAGATATACATAGGGCTTGTTGTGCCTTGGGCTGCTGCTCCGACGGTGGAGCCACCAAATGTTACTCTGGGCAGAGTTTTATAGATCCCAACCGCAGGACAAGCCAGAGGCTTTAGTGTAGTGGGGTGGCTCTCTGTGAGGCGTACTGACAGGATACAGACAGAGGACTCCGATAATACTGGCATGACGGGATCCTGGGTTTTTCCAATACGTCAAGCTCCAACTACTGCATTGTCTATTTTTATGACTAAACAGCTGAGGATTTGGCCGTTTGTTTAAAATATTACTTTGTGACCCAGAGGGCAGTATACTGACTACTCCTTCCCCTAAAACACTGTATTCTTTAACACAGAGGAATGTACAGTAGGAAGCTCTGAAGCTGTAATGGATATAAATAGGGAAACAATCACTCCAATACAGCAGGTCACAGTCCTGACTTGTCTCATATGAATGGACTGGTAGTGCTCGGTAGCTAGCTATCACATGCATTGTGGGACTCATTAAAGAGTAAAGAGGCTCTTATCTGGCCTCATTTGAAAAACGAATATCAGTCAATTATATCTCAGGAGGTGCAGCCATATTGATATTCCAGAGCTCACTGACCCCGCTTTGAATTCGAAGCGAGCATGAGTGGATGATTGAGTGAAATTAGGATCCACGGTAAATCTAGCCGACGTTAGGGGAACATACCAGAGTAATAGAGCATAATATGTTTTTCCACATGTCTCTGCTGCTATGCTGCTCTATGGCTGGCTGACTCTGTGGCATTGAGCTAGGGGCCAAATAGAGACAGGCCCTGTAATGGAGCCAGCAGCAGTCTTTGATAGTGTGTGTAATCTTTATATTGGCTCTATTTACAGGTTTTTCTCTGGTGTGGTTTGCTCCCCCCTGAGTTTTCCTTTACTCATCCCACGGTTTCTTTACCACTCCTAAGGGCGGACCTGGCCCCCAGCAACAAAAAGAAAGAAAGAACGGAGAGAGAGATTAGGAGAGAAGAGGGGGATCGAGAGGAGAGAGAGAGAGAGATATCTAACGAGAGGATCTCTAGAGATCTCTATATGTTATCTATCTATATATCTCTATCTCTTGAGTCTATCTCTATTCTCTTTATCTATATATCTATCTCTATCTATTGTTTTATGTCTATCTCTCTCTCTCTCTCTCTTTATTCTCTCTCTATGTATATATCTATATGTATATCTATGTCATCTATTTATAATATATATGGTATTTATAAATATATATATATATATATTATATATATCTCTCGATTATATCGATATATTGTATATTGTATCTATATATATTTATGTATGATATATCATAATATGTATGTATATATCTATATATTATATATATATATATATATATATCTATATCTTCTATATTAATATATTGTTATATATATATATGTATATATAATATATATGTCTATACTCTATCTCTGATCTCTCTCATATGTATATATCTCTATCTTATTATGTATCTCTATATCTATATAATATATATATGTATGTATATTCTCTATCATCAAATATATATATGGTCTCTCCTACTCTATGTGCTATATATATTATATCTATTGTTAATATATAATATATATATGTATATATCTATATATGTACTCTACATATATAATGTCTATTCTATATATATATAATATTATATGTATGTATGTATATCTACTATATATATATATAATATGTATATCTCTATATAATATATATATATATATGGATTATATATAGTATATATATATATATATGTATATATATATTATGTAATATATATATATATATATGTATGATTATATATATTATATATATATATATATAATATATATATATATATATTATGTGTGTGGATATATATATATATATATATATATTTGTATATATATATATCTATATATATATATAAATAATATATAATATATATATCTGTATATATGTATTATTATATATATATATTGAGTATATTATATAGATATATATATAGATATTATTATATAGGTAGGTATATATATAGATATATAGTTATATATATATCTCTATATGTATATATATCTATATATATATATATATATATATATGTATATATCTATATATAATATGTATATATAAACTATATATATATACTATATTTTAATATATGGTATATCTTATATACGTATATATTATATAAATCTATATGTATCGTATATATATATATATCTATGTCCTCTATAATATGTGATATATAAATATATCAATATATATATTCTATATCTATATCTCTATATATATATGTATATGTATATAGCTCTATCATTTAATGTATTATCTATTATAGTGTATGTCTATATCTATATATATATCTATCGCTCTCTTATATATCTAATCTCTCTTATATGTCTCTCTATCTCTGTCTATCTCTATCTCTATTGTCTCATCTTCTCTCTGTCTCTCTCTCTCATTGTCTATCTCTATATCTCTAATGTCTTCTCTATATATATATATATATATATGTAGTCTTCGCTATCTCTAATATATATATGTCTCTCTCTTCTCTATGGTCTCTCTCCTCTCTATGTAATATCTATATATAATATTATTCTATATATATCTATTGTCTATATTATAGTATATATATGTATATATATATATATATATATATATAGTATGGTAGGTATCTATATATATATATATATATATAATGTATATAATATATATCTATCTCTCTCTATGTCTCTCTCTCTCTCCTCCTCTCTCTGTCCCTCTCTTTATATGCTCTCTCTCGCTCTATAGGATATGTCTCTCTATCTTTCTCTCTCTATTCTTATTCTCTCTCTCTATCTCTCTCATCTCTATCGCGCTCTCTATCTCTCTCTCTCTCTAGGGCTCTCTCTCTATCTTCTCTCTCTATCTCTCCTCTCTCTCTCTATCTCTGTCTCTCTGTTCTCTCTCTCTCTCTTCTCTGCTCTCTCTCTCTCTCTCTATATATATATATATATATATGTATGTCTCTCTATATATATATATTTCTCTCTCTCTCTCTCTATGTCTCTCTCTCTCTCTCTCTCTCTCTATGTCTCTCTCTCTCTCTCTATGTCTCTCTCCCTCTCTCTCCCTCTCCCCTCTCTCTAAGGTGCTCCTGCATAGACCAGCCTGACAAATGGTGTATTTATTCATCGGTCCCAGTCTTACCTTCATGGACCTAGAGTTGTTGTGACATATGGTTGTCAGGGAGACTCTGGTGGTTCATTATACAATAACTAGTGTGTACTGAAGCAATAAGTCACGAGGTTTAGAAATAGATTTATACTATGGCATTGTTGAATACTCGCTTCTGATTGGCTTGAAGGGCATTCTAGAGCATGCATTATTTCCCTAAAAAACACAGTTTATTTGCACGGTAGCTATTTGATGGCTAAAGTTCTTACATGTTCTATGTTTGAGCTGATTTTAAAACAAAATTCGAATTGAAAACATTATTGGCATTGTTGAATTCAATTTTCATAATAGCAAGCTAGGACTGATTTGGTTAGCTAAACTAGCAAGTCTGTTTGCTTGGTTACCAAGGCAACTACTGTCACTATCTATTAAACTTGCTAGCTACTTCAGTGGATGTTGAACACATTTCTACCTGCAAATGAACACATTTCTAGTGGTAAATGAGTGAAATTATAGCCATGGTATAAAAGGGATAATCAAATCGGGGCTCTATGCGTTCTCTGGAAAATAATGCAACTCTGTTGAAGGCCGCGCCTCGTGGAACACACCTTCCACGTCGTTCATTATTTTCCAGAGAACGCATAGCCCCTCATTGATTATCCCTTACATACACATCTTAACAGATTGGCAATATACTGTTGTGGTGTGTGTGCTTTTTTACCTTGCTCCTACACTCTTACGAGAAAAGGGTTCCAAAAGGTTTCTTCGGCTGTCCCCATAGGAGAACCCTTTTTGGTTCCAGGTAGAACCCTTTTGGGTTCCATCTACATGGAACCCAAAAGGGTTCTACCTGGAGCCAAAAATGTATCTTCACACCATGATGTTTTCTGCCTTCACAGAGCTTCCAGTGTTCCCAAGGCTGATGCACCAAAGGTAAGTACACTCCAGTGAATCACTTACAGTCAAATTCATTATTTAAGATGAAAGGATTATGATCATGAGTATTACTTTTTAATGGGCATATTGACAGTTACCAGGATAATTTGCTAAAACATATGTGCTCAGGAGTTCATCAATGTGTTTGAGCATGCTCACTGTACCCTTCTGAGACAATGTTACACCACATTTTGATTGGCTGTTATGGACATTATGAAAAGCTTGTGAAGGTGCTACCCTCATGGATAGCCCTAAGGCGCATACCAATGTTCTGGGGAGTGTGGCCCCTGCATGAGTTTGCTGTGTGATTTGCGGTGTGCAGTGTGTGAGTGTTGTGCATGTATGCCTCCCCACCCCCTTTTAGGACGAACCGCTGGAGATCATTAAGCCCGTGCCAATCACCTACCCAGCCCCACCATCCACATTCACCAGCCCCTCCCCCCAACCCAGTGCTGCCTACAATAAGACGGCCCGCCCCTTTGGCGGGGGTAGCAATGTGGGTGCGGTCACTTCCTCCCTGACCGCCCCAAAGGTGGCCTCCATCCCTTCTGCATCGTCTGCTTTCACCCCCGCCGCCCCCTCCTCCCAGCAGCCCCAGCCTCCCTTCCCACTAGGCAGCCACTCCCGCTCTCCAGCCCCACCCATCGCAGCCCCAACCATCGCAGCCCCACCTAGCTCAGCCCCACCCCCCAGACCCAGCTCTGGCCGCTCCCCCTTCACCACCCCCTCCTCGTCCTCCTCCTCATCCCCGGCCAGAGTGACAGCACCCTCCTCCAATCCCGGTGCTCCGCAGTCCTCTTGCTATAACACGCCCATCAACCTATACTCCAACACCAACGCCTGTGAGGTGGCCATGGGACAGAGGCGGGGCCTGTTGGAAGCCCAGGGTGTGGTGGTCGACCAGATCAAAGAGCAGTTCAATGGGTGAGTTGCACTAACCTCAAACCCCACCCCTCACCTCTTCTCCTCACCTCTTCTCCTCTTCTTTCCTCTCCTGTTACTTTCTTTCTTTTACCAAACACCTCTTTCTCTGCTTTTGCTTCCTTTTGACTTTCCAAGAGGATCAGCTGTGGGTAGGTAGGTGGTTTGTACACTAAGTTCACTTGAAGTTAATTTTTACATTTTTTTTTACATTTTAGTCATTTAGCAGACGCTCTTAACCAGAGCGACTTACAGGAGCAATTAGGGTTAAGTGCCTTGCTCAAGGGCACATTAACGTCATTTAGCAGACGCTCTTAGCCAGAGCGACTCACAAATTGGTGCGTTCACCCTATAGCCAGTGGGATAACCACTTTACAATTTGGGGGGGGGCCCTGCACCATATTTTATTTTTAGGTCAAAAGAACAACATGGCTATTCTAGATATGACCACTTATACTGGTGTAGTGCAGTAGCAAGAAGGCTGTAATGGGAAATGAACATGTTTCTGTCTCACATCCCATAAATCCTGTGTGTTGTTGCCAGGTCTACAGATACTTGTGGTTCACTCCACTGCCTGTCTGGATGATGTTGTTTGAGGCCACAAGTAGCTGGTGTCCATTTTCAGTTAACCAACCATGCAATAACAACAGACTACCTGAGAGAGGACATACTTTGTAGTAAATCTTCCATCAGTTTCTCCTACATAGTCTACATTTATTTAGTCAAAATTTTTGCCATTTAGCAGACGCTCTTATCCAGAGCGATTTGTAGGAGCAATTGAGGGTTAAGTGCCTTGCTCAAGTGCACATCGACAGATTTTTCACCTAGTTGGCGCTGGGATTTAAACCAGCAACCTTTGGGTTACTGGCACAATGCTCTTAACCGCTAGGCTACCTGCCACTCTACAAACATAGTCTCGTTTGTAGAGCAACATGGATGGTGCCTATACCCCAACTCTGTAAACAGCCACAATAGAGAGAAATAGTAATGCCGTCTTTTTGTAGGCACTAACTCCGCCATGGTTCGTTTTGTAGGGTTTTTGGATAAACACCGAAAATAAAGTCTGTGGTAAACACAGGCTTAGGAGATCTTATACCTTTTGTTCTATGATATCTTCATCAGCTAACGTAACTTTTTTTAATTTTGAGGCATTTATGTAATTTAAAAAATCACGTAAAGGCTTCATAATTCATAAAGGTCATGTTAACTGAGTGATATTATCTCATAGAACAAAACGTATAAGATCTCCTAAGCTTGTGTTAACCTCTGACCTTATTGTCGGCGTTTATCCCAAAACCCTATTCTTTCCTCATTCATTTTCCCTATAGGGATGGCTGAACGAACCAGAGGTAACTAATTTCTGTTTTTAAGGACTACAAGCTGGCGAGCTCTATGAGTGCAGCAGAACATCTTGTCTCAATATGTTAAAGGGAACTGGAAACAGAAGAAAAGGGCAGCAGCAGCCGACGACATGTTAAACTCACTCCTGCTACCGCCCGACCCAGCCCAGCCCAACCGCCTCTCTCTAATTGATAGTAAAGTGAATAACCTTGCCAAACACCCAGTATTCTGGCTCTGAGTCTGTCTGACGTATTGTCGACTCAGACGCTTGTTTCTAAAAGCCTGGCATACTGGCAGCTTTGGGGCTGGAGCAGCTCTCTACTGGGATGTTTCTCCGGCCAGATTTATTTACAAAGCCTCAGAATAGTAAAAACATGTTTTTTTGTTTTTTTTGTAGTCAATGTAGTCCACTGATGCAAATATAATTAGTTATGTTTCGCAGCTGAATATAATAGAGACTTCATGCCACATGCCTGTAGGCACTTTGGTTGTCATCTCAGTCTGTACTTCATACTCTACATACTGTCTCTGTAGTTATTATTTGACCTTTGACCTTCCTCCTGTCTACACCCCCTGGACTGCCCTGTCTGCTTGTACAGGTTACAGGTATAGTAGCAGCATGTGTGTTCAGCTGCATCCTGTGTGTGTGTTTCTCTGGGTGTCTGCTCGCACATTATCTCAGAATGGTCCAAGTGTTTTTAGGACCCAGTTGAATCAATGCTCTTTCTCTTTTCCTGATCCTTTACTTTGCTTCATCCTCTTCTTCTTCATTTCCTCTTTCCTCAGGAGGGGGAGGAGGAGGAAGAGACCAAGTTAGTGTTCTAACATTAACTGTGACATACTGTCTGCTAGCTCTGTAACTGTGGGATGATGTGATTATCGGTGCTGTACTGCTGAACATGATGACTGCAGCGCAATTAGATTAGTACAGTAGGCATGCTGGCTCCTTTCTGCCATAACCCTCATAAACCTCACTCATACTCATGTACTTACTGTAGTACACCCTCATCTCAGAGCACAAAACAACCTGCAAAGCCACCCTGTAAATAACCCACAGCAATAAGCCATAATAAGACTTGTGGTCCACTGAGGCCAGTTCATTCATGCTCTGTGCCATGGCATCCCGGCCCGGTCCACTTGGAAAACTAGTGTATTTACACCCATGTGCGTTCCAAATGGCACCCTATTCCATTTATAGTGCACTACTTTTGACCAGAGCCCCATAGGCTCTATAGGCACTTTAAAGGGAATAGGGTGCCATTTGTGATGCATGCCCACCAGGCCCACCCCCAGGGTCCAGGCTGCAACTCAGAGCCCTGTAGGCTGACCTGTCACCACTCAGCGGGGCTACTGAACCCTGTCCCTGCATCTGTCCCCCTCCGTCTGTCCATCTGCCACCGTGTCACTCTGTTTACCCAAGGCCACTTATTAATTACCAGCCAGCTATTCCACTGTGGTTCTAGGAATAGGACCGTCACAATCTGACCCCTGACCTCCATTCACTTAGAATACACTCACTGACACGTGCAATAGAATAGAACACATGCTGGAGAGCTCACATGCAGAACACTCAGATATATTCACACTTGACTTGCCCCAAGTGCATAAATGCACTTGTAGCTAATGTAACAAACAGACACATTGAGATGAGTGTCTAAACATGATTTAATTCAGGACAGGAATACAAAGAATGTATCTGTTCTGGTCCTGAGCTCACTGTAATGTGAGGTCCAGTGGTTCCTCCTTGTGGTGAGAGATGGTACTTTCACCCTTGTTTATAACTATTAAACATACAATGTTGCTATTTAACCCATAAAGCATATTCCAGATAGCACTAAAAGCACAATGTCATGCTATAATATGAGTGTCTCTGAGTTAACACCATGTATGTGGGCTGAATCATGTAATTTGTGTCATGTCATCTTCATAGGGGTTTTGGAGGTGGTCATTACAGTTATTTTGAATTGATAGCTATCTGTGTCATTGTAGCTGACTGCTGCTCTGCTACGTCTAGTTTAGCTGCTGTTTCTGATAGTGGGCCTCAGAGCATTCTTAAGTAAGTATAGCCTGTAGTAGCAATGCTCATACTTTAGTTCCAAAGAGTTTTAGCACCTTGGAAGTACAATAGTCCGTTTTTCCTCCCAATCTTTTCCAGTTTCTGATTCTTCTCCTTCTATTATCCTATTTTCCTTTCTTACCTCCCTCTCAATGTCCGTGTGCAGAGTCCCCCCAAAGAGTGGCCCTAGGAGGTACAGTAAATGGGAAGTCTAGCAGTGGCCACTTCACTGAGTGAATGTCTTGTCTGAGTCTACCTGTAGTATACACTGGGAGTGAGAGTGTGTTTGTCTGTACCTGTGTGTGAGAGATTTGTTTTGCACTTGTGTTATCCTACTGTATGAAAAATATTAATTAATGACTGAATTTAATACATTAATCGGAATAATTACTTAATAAATAAAGTAATTATTAAAAGTCATTTTTATGAATGGTGAATGCTAATAGTAATTGGAAATAAATGGTAATGATGAGGATGAGGATGATGAAGATCGTAATACTTATTCTCTGTGTGTGTGGCCTCAGGAACAGAGTTGAACCAGAGTTGAACCATGCCTCGCCACTCAGTGAGGCCAGTAAGAAGCGTATGATCGAGGACACAGAGGACTGGCATCCTCGCACTGGCACCTCCCAGTCCAGGTCCTTCAGAATCCTGGCTCAGATCACTGGCACAGAGAACGGTGGGTACCCCCTGGCACCCTCCCCCTTCCTCCAATACCCTGACGCATAATGACACCCTAGTTACTTTTATGTTGGGTACCCTGGCACCCTCATACCCAGGCTAGAACACATGCAGCACCACCAATACCTTGGCACAATGGGATTAGAAAATAGATATGTATCATAACTAGATCATTGTGTTCTTACAGTAACCCCTCTGAAGTGACCATTTGACCTTTGCCTTTTCCCCTAAGGGAAAGGTTACATAAGAAGACTGTAGTATAGATTACAGCAGTGCTGCATGCTATTCCCAGTGGCACAGGTCTGTGTCTGTGTTCTGGTCCCCCTGGCACAGCTCTGTCTCTGGGCCTCAGCATCCATCTCTCTGTCATCACCCCAGCCCTGTGTGTGTGTTGGACCTGCTCTGCTAATATAAACTGACATGAAGCTGACAAGGAACAGTGGATAAGATGTCCCGCTCTACTCCAGACAGAGGCTGAGGTTACCAATACAGAGTTGAATATGTTTAAGGCTGTTGATATTATGCAAATGGTGCTGGAGAGTGGTTTGTACAGCTGTAGAGTAGATGTGGAGAGTGGTTTGTACAGCTGTAGAGTAGATGTGGAGAGTGGTTTGTAGGTGAAGAGAGGACTGAGTTCAACTGGCAAGGACTGAGTTCAACTGGCAAGGCAGGGCTATCTCTGCCATGTGATTTTGAGCCCAATCATCCAGCCCTCACGTGGAGTAGAGCTAATTGAGGTGCACCCTTGGCCAACTTTTTTTTAAAAATAGTTATAGTTTTATTAATATCTATTGGATTAAAATTAGCATTTAAAAAGCAGTATAACCACTCTTTTTGGCTGGACATCCCTTCAGTTATTTTCTATTATAAAACACACGTCTACACGCACGTTACAATCTCTGCATTTATGTTCATGAGTTTCTTTTCTCCTCTGTTGACAGCCCAAGCCCAGGAGAACAGCACTGGAAAGAAGTGAGTAGTTGATGATTTGTCAGTCTTCTCCAATGTGATCTGGTTGTAGTTTCCTGGTGTGTGAGTGTGATGCTGTTGTTGTTACTGTAACTATGTTGGGGTGATCACAGCTTTCTGGCACTCCATGTCTCGTCCTGCATGTCACAGGAGCTTCTCATTATTGGGATTCCGTGTTTAGCCCATACTTCCTGATCCATGAGACGCTCAGTATCACGCTTAGTTTAAGGCTTCATTACAGGAAGCCACATCAGAGGGTGCCCTCTGCGGTGGAAACCCTAGTAAAAACAGCGCAGGCTGGGTTAGCTGGGTCGGCCAACCCTCAAAGCCTTCTGAGAGCTGGGGATTCTCAGTTCTGTGTTCTGCCCCCATTCATCTTCAGTAAACACACCCTGCTGGTCTCCAAACCAAAGCCCCGGACAATCAGCATGTCACGGTGGGATTGTGGGTAATTAAGTGGGACTGTGGGTAATAAGGGCCTGCCAGGAGGAGGCTCTCACTCTCAGAGACATGTAGTTAACAGACAGCACGCTCCCAAAGACAGAACTCTCCTATCAGGAGATATCAAGCCTCTTGCAAATCTTATTGCTTTATTTCTTTTACCTGTATTTCCTCAATTTCCCAGTATTTTCCTGTCCATTTCTTGTCTATTACTTTTTTCTTACAATTTCTTTCTTTCCTTTCTTCCTGTCTGCTCTCCTGTGTCCTCTCCTTGCTCCCTTCTTCCCTACCTCCGTCTCCCCTCCTGTCCTGTGCCGTTTGGTGTGTTAGGATGAATAAACCGGACCCAGAGGTTGTGGGACAACTGTACAACAAGCTGAGAGACTGGCACCACGATGTTTCAGCACGCACACTCAACGTGCAGTAGACTATGTATCTGGCTAAGATAACAGTGTACTATATGTAACCTCTACCTGCCTGTGTTTTATTTATTTCAATCTGCCTGTAGTTGTCTCCCTGTGTGTGTGCAGTGTATGTCAGCCTACCGACAGTTAGGCAGAGTCCATTATATTTCACATTATAATTCACATTATACCTAACATTATCACGTACACTTGTATAGTTACAGGAATAAGTTAGTGCATCATTTAGGTGTGTGTGTGTGTGTGTGTGTGTGTGTGTGTGTGTGTGTGTGAACCTGCGTGAGAGTGATTTTTCTGTCTGAGTGTTAAATACTCTCCCTTAGGTTACCTTGCCTTTTTTTACTACTTACACTATATATACAAAAGTATGTGGACACCCCTTCAAATTAGTGGATTCAGCTATTTCAGCCACACCCGTTGCTGACAGGTGTATAAAATCGAGCACACAGCCATGCAATCTCCATAGACAAACATTGGCAGTAGAATGGCCTTACTGAAGAGCTCAGTGACTTTCAACGTGGCACCATCATAGGATGCCACCTTTCCAACAAGTCAGTTCGTCAAATTTATGCCCTGCTAGAGCTGCCCCGATCAACTGTAAGTGCTGTTATTGTAAAGTGGAAACGTCTAGGAGCAACAACGGCTCAGCAGCAAAGTGGTAGGCCACACAAGCTCACAGAACGGGACCGCTGAGTGCCGAAGCGCTTAGCGCATAAATATTGCTTGTTGTCGATTGCAACACCCACTACCGAGTTTCAAATTGACTCTGGAAGCAACGTCAGCACAATAACTGTTTGTCAGGAGCTTCATGAAATGGGTTTCCATGGCCGAGCAGCCGCACAAAAGCCTAAGATCACCATGCGCAATGCCAAGCGTCGGCTGGAGTGGTGTGTAGCTTGCCGTCATTGGACTCTGGAGCAGTGGAAACGCATTCTCTGAAGTGATGAATCACTCTTCACCATCTGGCAGTCCGACGGACGAATCTGGGTTTGGCAGATGCCAGAAGAACGCTACCCCCCAATGCATAGTGCCAACTGTAAAGTTTGGTGGAGGAGGAATAGTGGTCTGGGGCTGTTTTTCATGGTTCGGGCTAGGCCCCTTAGTTCCAGTGAAAGGAAATCTGAACTCTACTGCATACAATGACATTCTAGACGATTCTGTGCTTCCAACTTTGTGGCAACAGTTTGGACAATGCCCCCGTTCACAAAGCGAGGTCCATGCAGAAATGGTTTGTCGAGATCGGTGTAGAAGAACTTGACTGGCCTACACAGAGCCCTGACCTCAACCCCATCGAACACCTTTGGGATGAATTGGAACGCCGACTGCGAACCAGGCCTAATCGCCCAACACAGTGCCTGGCCTCACTAATGCTCTTGTGGCTGAATGGAAGCAAGTCCCTGCAGCAATGTTCCAACATCTAGTGGAAAGCCTTCCCAGAAGAGTAGAGGCTGTTATAGCAGCAAAAGGGGGACCAACTCCATATTAATGCCCATGATTTTGGAATGAGATGTTAGACGAGCAGGTGTTCACATACCTTTGGTCATGTAGTGTATATACAGATAACTGCCAAAATAAAGGAAATACCAACAAAGTGTCTTAATAGTGCGTTGGGCCACCACAAGCCAGAACAGCTTCAATGGACCTTGACATAGATTCTATAAGTGTCTGGAACTCTATTGGAGGGATGCGACATCATTCTTCCATGAGGAATTCCATAATTTGGTATTTTGTTGATGGTGGAGGAAAATGCTTTCTCAGGCGTAGGGCTGGGCGAAATGGCCAAAATATCATATCACAGTATTTTTTAAATTTTATGATGGTATTTTATGTTTTTGAGTAATAAAAGTTCTAAATGTGATTTAAGAGTAGTGCGTGACCTTACGGTGGGTCTTTCTCCATTCTGATTGTTTTATACTGTTCAATTGAACTTCAACCAACATTTTTTCCCTGCATTTCCATAAATTTCTGCATTCCCTGCACTCATTTGAGATAATTTCCACACTGCCACGTAAGGCTGCACGATATGGGCAAAAAAACAAGGCCTTATTTTTTACAGAATGTTGTAATTGCGATTTGACTTGTGATTTAGATCAAAACACTTAGGTGAACTGCTGGAACCATGGAAATAGAATGATTATTCTAATTCTATAGTTAGAATATAAATAATAGTAGGCACTTTGAATACAGTGTTTGACATGACAACGAATGAAAATGCCAGGGAGAACTTATTGTGACAGGTTAGGAACCAAATTGATGGTCAGTGTTTCCTAGGGGACCCTATAATCTTTGGCTACAAAATGTTTCTTCATGTAGCCAACATATTCATGCTTCGCCTATTCGTCTTTGATTTAGAAGATAATGTTGCATAAACAACATGCTGATTTAGGCCTACTTCATCACTGGTACAAGGCTGTATTAGCTAGCTACGTTTGCTCTGACTCAGTACATTTATTAGCTAGCTAGCCAGCTAACTAGCGATTAGCGGCTAAAACGATTTAGCTAAAACTTGCTAAGAAAATACGAACTATCTCTCTGCAGATGTAAGAAACACAAACTAATAGTGTAATTATAGAACGTTTGTGGATTTATATGAAGAAGAATTGCATGTGCTGCACTGACCTTGCAGACTGAACGCAAGTGTCTTGTGGTCAAGCAACAACAAATGCGCTCCTTGAGTGACAGGGGGCGGGGCTAAGTCTGTGTGGAACGCGGCATGGAGCGAGAGCTGGGAGGGATGACTCAAGTAGCGGCGTAAACTATACAAATGTACGTCACACACAACATATCACATTTAACAAACCAAAGATTAAAATAACGTTATAGGAGGTAAAGACAAAACCCAAACCGGTCAGTGCATCAATACCGGTATATAGTAAAATACGTTATACTGCCCAGCCCTACTCAGGCACGGCTCCAGAATCTCCCATAAGTGTTCAATTGGGTTGCGATCTGGTGACTGAGACGACCATGGCATATTATTTACATAGTTTTCATGCTCATCAAACAATTCAGTGACCACTCTTGCCCTGTGGATGAGTGCATTGTCATCCTATGGGGGCGTAGCCAAAACAATGGCCTGCCCAGCATTTCTATCCATGACCCTAAGCATGATGGGATGTTAATTGCTTAATTAACTCAGGAACCACACTTGTGTGAAAGCACCTGCTTTCAATATACATTGTATCCCTCATTTACTCAAGTGTTTCCATTATTTTGTCAGTTACCTGTATCCTCTTTGTATACGTATGTGTCTGCATGAGATGACTTTTCTCTGTAATATACTTATAGGTTTGACTTAGTTTTTGTGTCTATTCAGTTAAGTTTCTTCTTCTTTTCTGACATCACTATGTCTCCAACTTAATTATCTACCTTTCCTTCTCCATGACTATCTTGATATTTTATCTTAATTTTGTTTCATTTTATACACTAACCATAGTTATGCTTGAAGATTGTTGCTGCTTGCATCTCAATAAAGTTATATCCCTTATTTCCTGTCCCCTCCCCTTTTCATTTTCTTCTGTTTCTTGTTTTCCTGGGAAGTACAGTATCTAAACACTTGAGACCTACACAGCTAATGGACATATGAGGCATACAGATCCAATGGCTCACAAGCAGTTTATACAAAAGACACAAAGGAGCTCCTAATATCTTAGCTCCACACATACAGTACAGTTCTGTCTGCTTGACCTAGTAGCAATTCATATTTATCACCAGTAGAGGGTAGTGTTGTCAAGGCAAATTTTAAATACAGTGTAGCTGACAAACATTCATACAATTGGATATGACCTGGAGCAAGTCAGACTCTGTTCTTTTCCTAAGGGCAAGTGCTTCTCACCTGGGATTTGAACCAGCTTCCTTTTGGAAACAGCTTGGATGATACCTTGATACGCTGAACACCAGCACTAGTACAGACCTAACCAAGCATTATTTATAGAACCATCAATATGTCAATGTCATCGATGACAACATTGCAGAGACTGAAAGAACAGTAAAATAGGCAGCAGGCCACTGTTGTTATGAGCAGCTCCACTGCATACAACATTTCACAGAGAGAGAGAGTGAGGATGGAGAGGGAGAAAGAGATAGAGACAGTGCCAACACTAATTGTTTTCCTGTTTACTTATTGCTGTGCCATCTGGACACTGGGCTGTATCACGTATCCTTATTGGATCAATCTGGCTATGGTTTTCATCAGACACAGCTTTTAATCCAATCAACTCTCCCCCTAATTGGCCTGATTGGTTGAGTGTGTCACTGAGCTTCCTGCTAATTGATTGTGCCTGGTTAGTGCCTCCGCTGGATGTGACTCAGTCATGCCTATCATAATTAGCCTGGTTTTATGTCTTCAAAACAGCCCTTCCATTGCCCCTGTATTTCCAACAACTATTTTGCTATTTTTGGGTGTGGTCTGCACATCATTTCACCTTAAACATGTACTCGAACAGGAGGAGAACCACATGCTTTATATTGGGGGTAGGAGTGGAGAGAATGTGCAGAATGTGGGAGTGAGTTTTACTATAGCAGAAGATAGTAAAGTGAAGTCTGTATAGTTTTTAGTGGGGAGGTGTGTTGTGATGGAATGACATTCTAACAGCTGAGATGTGTTCTGAGTCCTGGATAGAACTCCTACTGTACTGTAACCATGGCTAAGGTTGCCATAACAAACATGGCCTGAGACTGACAGGCATCAGTTTGCACAGCCTGGCGATGTGGATAGTCATGAGTAAACAACACCAGACCTTGAGAACTTCAACGCTACTGGGCTTATTATAAGCTAAATACTATAAAGCGAAAACATTTCTCTATGATGGAGTGTCTGTGTGTGTATTTGTGTGTGTGTGTGTGTGTGTGTGTGCATATGTGCGGGTGTGTTTGTGGGTGCCTGTGTGTTTGTCAGTGAACCAATTACCTATAACCAGTACCTTTCTGTTCTCCAGTGAAGTTGTTGAGGATGCCATGCCCAGTGCTCACGTCACAACATCAGTGAAGACCATGACCAAAGTCTCAGGTGCCCCCAGGAATGGTAACGGTGTCCCCCCACCCACCTTCAAGACCCCCTCTACCCAGGTCAAACCCTCCTGGCCGGCTGGAGGTCCAGCAGGTAATCTTACACACCCTGACACTACCCCTACTGTCTTCCTCTCTCTGCCTTTTCAGAGGATTATGTGGTTAGGTTAACTCACCAGGCTGTTTACACATCTTGTTCATATTTCTGTTATTGAGTGTGTCCTGCTGTTAAGAAAAAACTAGATATATACTAGAAGCTTAGGTTTACTACAGCCTTTTTAAACAGAAATGTCAGAAATGCAAATATGTATTTATTTGTCTAAGTTATGAGAGCTCTGCCCTTTACACAAATATTGTTTTAGGAGAAGAATGCTTCTATAGATGAATGCATCTATAGCATGTAGTAGTAGCATCATTAACCCCTTGGCGTTTGCTTTGAATGAAGAGGTTGCATTGACTCAGACAGGCAACAGTAGTGTCAGTATCTCAAGGTGACATCCTCTGTAGTAGTTTATTTTGACCTACAGAGGGCAGACGCATGCTGTAACTGTAAAACCTGACTATTAATCAGTGCTTTTATTAGAGCAACATAATGCCTCTGTTACACAGGGCTCTTCAAAATGACGAGCTCTATAAAACGTGCGGTATTCAGCTAATGACCTCAAATTATTGCCTATTTTTCCACGTTTCCTGAGTTAAATACATTGTGAAATTGGGAATTATATTTTTGATTTTCGACTCTTTAAACAGAGGAGATTCAGGGTCTGTGAGAACTGTAGCTGCCTTGGAGTAAATATTTGCCGAAGGGCCTTGAGTTGGGAGTCATTACTAAGATGACTAAGACTGCAGTATGATCTATATGTGTGCATATATACATGGCCTACACAGAACTGTGTGAGGCTAGAGAGGTCCTGTGCTTGCTTACCTACTGCCTCCCTGGGGACCTCTTAAGTGAGAGCTGCTGAAAGGGGGTGTATACGAGACCACAGGCACCTCTCTGTTAGATACAGTATGTATCAGATTAACGCTTACTTGACCTTGTGTTCACGAACATATACTTCATACTGACCGTGTGGAACCAGGTCAGATGCATGGTATATTATGTATGATTCTACCATTCCCCCTGCTGGTGGAGAGGTGGAGAGAGAGAGAGGTGGAGAGAGAGAGAGGTGGAGAGAGAGAGAGAGGTGGAGAGAGAGAGAGAGGTGGAGAGAGAGAGAGAGAGGTGGAGAGAGAGAGAGAGGTGGAGAGAGAGAGAGAGGTGGAGAGAGAGAGAGGGAGAGAGGTGGAGAGGGAGAGAGGTAGAGAGGGAGAGAGAGAGAAAAACAAATCTCCCAGATGTTTATCAGCCAGCACGAAGTGTGGCCATGAGTCATCTATCCAGCCTACCTCTCACCATGCCATCCAAGAACATGTCCCCTAAGGGGCTAGCCACTGCTGTCACTAGACGTTCTCTCAACAGGACGTTTAAAAGACCAACCTAACCAGACGTGGTTTGATGGGCCTGGACCCGGGGTTTGGCAGCCCTGCTGTGGTTCAAGTGAAACGGAGATAGAGATCTCTAGTGTTCCCGGCCGTGCAGCCTGCCCAAAGCCTCTTCAGTGGTTACTTAGAGCATAGTGCCAACACACAGTGATGGTGTCATATACAGTTTGTGCTCTCCTTCCTCTTTCTTTCTCTCTCTCGTGCTCTCTCTCTTGCGCTCTCTCTCTGTCTTTCCCATGGATCTCCTCTTCTCACTTCTCTGCCAGTCCCCAGTCATGTTTATTCAGTTTGTTTGCTCTCCGTTACGAGGAAATCGAGGGGGCACTTGCTTCCTGACCCCTCAGTCCGCCACTCTTTGATTCTGGTCCTGCTTTTCAATGGTCTCTGTCCCCCTCCACCCCTCACCCCCTCCTCACCCCCTCTGAGGGCAGACATATTTGACCCTCCCTGGATGTCTCTGTGTAGCTGGAGAGAGAGAGGAGAGAGGTAAGAATGGAGAAGGAAGGATTGTGTCTTTCCTCTCCACGTTCTGTTCCGAGAGGAGTGGAGGGGGGGATTATTTTGCCAGGTGTCTCCTTTGGCTCTGGGAATGTTTTTCTTTCCCCATGGTGGAAAAATGTATCCTTTGTTTGGGTGGTGTGGAGTGGATCTGCCCGACACAGCTGGCCCATGCATAAGACAGAGAGGTCACAGCTAGATCTGATACATTCTGTCAGCAAGTAGCATACTCAGTCATACCTGATCACACCTGCCCACCCACACCTGAGCTAAGGTTTCTTTAGGGTTAGCTAGCAATGCATATAGCCGTGTAAATACAGCTACAATTCTCATTGATCATTGAAGGATCAGGATGTTTGTACTGCTCTGCCTGTCTGCTGTATGTTGTTAGTGTTCTGATCACATTACACAAAAGTTTGTGAATGTTTTTATATAGCTCAAATGGATGTGATTTTTTTATATGGTGTGATTGAAACAAATGACCCATGCTGTATTTTTTTGTTGCTTTAGGTTTCCCTAAGGGTGGAGCGGCGCCCTCTTTTGGCCGGGTTAGCAACACTGCACCAGTACCTGCAGTACCCAAAGGTCCTGACCGCCCTGCCCCCCAGGCGCACCCCAAGGACCAGGACTCCCTGGTGCAACGGGCCGAGCACATCGCAGCAGGAACACGCACACCCATGTGTGGCCACTGTGACAAGGTCATCAGGTACATAACGACAGTCAGTATGGGAAATTGGGAATTTTGGACGCAGCGTAATCCTAAGGGTTCACTTCTGATTCGTTTCTCTCATGTATCTGAAGTTGAGTTTAAAGTTAATTTTATCCTGAAAACTGACCTCTGCCCACTTCCTGTTTTCCACAGAGGTCCGTTCCTGGTGGCCATGGGCATGTCGTGGCACCCTGAGGAGTTTAACTGTTCCCACTGCCACACGTCTCTGGTGGAGTCAGGCTTTGTGGAGGAGAGGGGAACAGTGTACTGTGCTCACTGCTATGAAGAGTTCTTTGCCCCTACCTGCACCAGCTGCAAGCAGAAGGTCCTGGGGGTGAGTGACATACTTTAGGAGACCGTATGGTATCTTGGCTTGTCCACCTTGCTCAGTTATCTTCCTCTCCAAATCCACGGACACATATTGAAATCAAATGATGACATTATGACAGTAATAGAATTCCCTATAATCTCTTATATTTGTTACAGGAAGTCATCAATGCCCTGAAGCAGACCTGGCATGTGTACTGCTTCCTGTGTGCATCCTGCCAGCAGCCAATCAGAAACAACACCTTCCACATGGAGGACGGGCTGCCATACTGCGAAAGAGGTGAGAGGTCACAGCAAGCAAGGTTTTTCGTAATGAACACGACTGTGAAATGAATCTAGTCGTGAAAGTAACATTTGACTGACTCTCTTCCACCCAGATTACTACCAACTCTTCGGTACCAGTTGCCATGGTTGCGACTTCCCCATCGAGGCAGGAGACAAGTTTCTGGAGGCGTTGGGATTCACCTGGCATGATACCTGCTTCGTATGTGCAGTAAGTCAGCCCCCCATGAGATAGAAGTGGAATATAGAGAATATAACGATTGTAGCTCTGATATTACTGTACTGTGACTGTCATTTCCTAGGTCTGCAGCACCAGTTTGGAGGGCCAAGCCTTCTTCTCTAAAAAGGACAAGGCTCTGTGCAAGAAACACGCCCACACAGTCAATATCTGACCCGCCCCCAGGAGTGAAGAACAGAGGAAAACAGAGAAATAATCTATTCTGTCAGCTGTAGATATTTTTGGTAGTTTTAAAAGATTGATTTATCTGATTATGACATTTATTAACAGACATGTTTGTTGATGGGAATTTAAGCTTTATTTTATCTTCTTTGATATTTCTGTGTGTAGTTTACCATTCACCGCTTGTGCCATATAAGGGGAAAATATGATGCTCAAATTAAGGTATGATAAAAGTACCTACTGTATTTTCAACATTAATTAATTTCATAAATGCAAAATATGTGTCCACTACATACTGTATGATCCCATATAATTTATGTAGTTTAATAATTAAAGTGTTATTTTAGTATAAGATTAAAATCAATATATTACCTTATTGAGAAGGAATGTGTTATTGAGGACAATTAGAGCACCCCAACCCCATTTTATTCTCCCTCTCCCCTCCTCTCTCTGTCCTATTTGTCTCTCTCTCTCTCTCTCTCCGCTAGAGTGGTTGGGTCTGTAGACATATGTATTTATCCTGGTAGTATATTTATTGGGGCTGGAGGGATGTAAGGATGTACTGTATTTTGGGATTTATAGGGGCAGTTGCACATAGTGGTTCAATGACAAAGTCAGTCAGTCAGGACAGACAGCTGTCATTTTATGAGCAGTAGGGTTTTTCCATGTTTATCGTTTAATGTATGTATTTAAAAACATATTTTTGGGGATTTAATGCCCATTTATTTTGAACCTAAACATAGACACCATTTTCCGTTTGCTGCCACATGAATGCTTGTCTATGTCAGGGTTTCCCAAACTCAGTCCTTGGGCCCCCCCTGGGTGCACATATTGTTTTTTGCCCTAGCACTACACAGCGAATTCAAATAATCAATGCTTGATGATGAGTTGGTTATTTGAATCAGCTGTGTAGTGCTAGGGCAAAAACCAAAACGTACGCCCGGGGGGCCAGGACCGAGTTTGTGGTGTTTATTGGTGTAATTAATTCCATTTCCAATCATATGTCATTATGTCACTCATTCAAACTTACAGACTAAAAGTAAAAAAAAATCTCTCCATTTGTCCATAAAATGTCAGTGTTGAATATTATTTGTATTAGACCTCTGTGGGATGGACACAGTTTATTTGGAAATACAGTACATTCATTCAAGTGTATTGGTCTTCTATTTGTAGAAATAAAACTACAATTTTATATAAAGTCTTTGAACGTAATTAGGATTCAATCATGTGTGTGTTGATAGAGCATGGCGTTTGCAACGCCAGGGTTGTGGGTTCGATTCCCACGGGGGGCCAGTATAAAAAAATATGTATTCACTAACTGTAAGTCGCTCTGGATAAGAGCGTCTGCTAAATGACTAAAATGTAATGTAAATGTAAAAATGTTTAGGTTGCGTTTTTATGTTTATGGTGTATCAATGTTTGTCTGTCACTATAGAGGTCCCAGATCCATACCTCAAAATATGACTGGTTCATCCATTCCCCATTGATTCCATTATACCCCATACTGTATGTATTGCATGATGACGAGGCAAAACATTTATTTTTTTACAGCTTTTATGACAACTTTCCTTATCAGGATAGGTGCTCAAAATGAAGCTTTGCTACAGACATGATGCCCCACTATAACAAAATATTGTTAAATCTCAGATGAGACCATTCAGACAAGCACGAGCTTGAGTCCCCTCACGCTCACCTAGGCGGGAAAAGTACACTGTCTCCATGGAGACAGGGAAGACAACACCTCTCTCAGGTGTCCTGTCTTGTCTCCAATGGTGACAGCTTATTTACTTGCAATGATGTTTTGGCAAAATCGCCTCACTGGAGAACTACAACAACGCAGACTACAATTCATTTTTTAAATAAACAATGACTAAATAAAGTTATAGGGGAAAATGTAAAGTTGTTGCCTATTATGCAATATTTCCATTGGTAGACAAAGTGAAAAGGAACACTTGGAGCAGTGGATGCCCTAAAACTGTACTTCTCCAAGACGTCGGAGGTGGGAGCCCTATACCGGACTGCGAAGACTCAGCGAATAGACAGACAGCCCGTTCACTTGGAAAAGTCAGAAGTCGGACACAACACAAACGTAGAAAAATTAGAAAGCTAGATGTAATTCTTGGAAGTTTTGTGACCAAACCATCACATCGGAATCCTGCCATTCTACATTTTACGCGAGGAAAGGTACGTTTGTTTAGAAACCCTTAATCACAGCGAGCGCGAAGTTTTAGCTGCGTCAATTGTTGTGGTCGCGAGCTTTCCTTACTGTTTCTGTAAGAATGTAAGTGATATTGTGTTTAGTTTATGATTCATGTAATTCGGTCGAGATGCACATCTTTTCTGCTGTGATTGTTCAGAGGATGCTGCATTTGCTCCATCATCAACCGACTCTGATTCGCCTGGTTCCGAGTTTTCCGGAGCTGGTGTTGATGCGTATCAGTAATTGGTTAAATTATCACCGCACCATAAATCTGAATGCCACTTTTGATCAACTGAGATATAGCCTCGAAAATACACCTCAAACGGTAAACGTAGCCTGCATCTATGATACACGTATTAAACTGTGTTTTACAAATGGATCAATCATTTAGCCTAATATTTAGATACGTTTCCGATAGGCTACTTTCACAACTCAATTATGTTACCATGGCGCTAGAGAGGTATTGGGTGTTTTTGGTTAATCTGTGAAGTCTTGTTTACTGTCTATTAATATGCAGTTCCAGTATGACCTTACACCCCTTGCTAGCTATCTAATTTAAAGTGTATCTTAATTAATGAACTCTGTGTGATGTTGAAAAACAGCCTCTGGCAGAGTCCAGGACTGATACTGCTCATTAGAGCTGTGGGGGAGACACAGTATCAGTATGTCCAGACTCCACAGAGCCTTGGAGAGACTGTAGTTTGAGTTCAGTAAGATGTATACTCACACTGACTAAGACAGAGTGGACCTGGGTTCGGGACAGGAGGTTGGCCAACTGCACTGTTTGGTCACACCATGTGTGACTGTATTAACCTTGTCCCCAAGCTACACTGATGTAAAGTGTTGGTTTCATGAGCTGAAATAAACAAATCCCAGACATTTTCCATATGCACAAAAAGCTTATTTCTCTCCAATTTTGTGCACATATTTGTTTACATACCTGTTAGTGAGCATTTCTCCTTTGCCAAGATAATCCATCCACCTGTCAGGTGTGGCATATCAAGAAGCTGATTAAACAGCATGATCACTACACAGGTGCACCTTGTGCTGGGGACAATAAAAGCCCACTTAAATTTTTTTGCAGTTTTGTCACACAGATGTCTCAAGTTTTGAGGGAGTGTGCAATTGGCATGCTGACTGTAGGAATGTCCACCAGAGCTGTTGCCAGAGAATTGAATGTTCATCTCTCTACCATAAGCTGCTTCCAACGTAGTTTTAGAGAATTTAGCAGTACGTCCAAACGGCCTCATAACCGCAGAACACAGCCCAGGACCTCCACGCCCGGCTTCTTCACCTGCGGCATCATCTGAGGGGGGAGGGGGGGAGTATTTCTGTCTGTAATAAAGCACTTTTGTGGGGAAAAACTCGTTCTGATTGGCTAGGCCTGGCTCCCCAGTGGGTGGGCCTGGCTCCCAAGTGGGTGGGCCTATGCCCTCCAAGGCCCACCCATGGCTGCACCCCTGCCCAGTCATGTGAAATCCATAGATTAGGGCCTAATGAATGTATTTCAATTTACTTATTTCCATATATGAACTGTAACTCAGTAAAAACGTTGAAATTGTTGCATGTTGCATTTATATTTTTGTTCAGTGTAAATTGCTACTGCATATAGAGCCTGGTAACACTGTGTCTTAAAGTGGGACTTGAAAGGGGCGCAGCTTAAAATCGAGGCGGGCGAGGGAGCGAGCCTGCTAAAGCTGTATTAGATGGGACTTTGAAAAATGGAGAAAATCACCAATCAAAATGAATGCCAATTCAAATCAGTGGCTAGATGGTGATGGACTGAGAGATCAGCCAATTCAAATCAGCGGTTGTTTCGTCCACTCCTGCCATAGCCTCCATTCAAGTCCCTTTCTGAGGTGCTTTGAAACCAGACGATTTGACCGAGAGAGAGCCGGCTGGTGGATGAGATTAGTGGTTGTGTGTATAAATGTGTGTCTCTGTCTGTGTTATGTTTTGTGTGGTCCACAGCAGTGGCCGTGGGGCTGTTGACTTGAGAGGCCCATCTAATGGTGTATAGTGGCATGGGGTCAAGGGTAATATTTGACTGGACTGAAACCCCATTTAAAGACATAAAGTCATGCCACAATGCTGTGCTCTGTTCTCCAGTCTATCATAGAACTCCACCGGACCAGATCTGATCTCATTACATCACTGGCCTCCAGCTCCTGATGTTAGGCCAGGCCAGAAACCCCATGCAGCCATCCATGCACAGCCTTATATTTTAGATTTGTCTTCACCTTGGAGACTGAGGTTGTGTCCAAAAAGAGACCATATTCCCTATGTAGTGTACTACTTTTGACCAAGGCCCATAAGGATCTGGTCCAAAGTAGTGCATTATATGGGGAATAGAGTGCTATTCAATACAGAGAGGATCATTGACGGAGGCCTAACTGAGTGAGTTTGAGAGTGAGAGAGTGTGTGGGCTAGGATGAACCACACAGTGATCCCACTACCACCCAGGACTGGTACCACACACACACACACACACACAATTAGCTTACAGGACAGGGATGTGGAGGGAGGCTGGGCAGCTGGAGGGCAGTTGGCAGGCCTGTGTTTTTGTGGCCTACCACAGACTGAGGCTTGGAGCATTTCAGTGTTGGGCTCTGTGTGTTTCAGGTGTCTGGGTGTGTGTTTCCGTGTAACTTACCCACGGCACGGTGGTGGTCTTGGGAGGTCTTGTATGGTAGCCTTCAGGGCTGGGGTCAATTCAAATTGGAGGCAGTCAATTCAGGAAGTGATTTTAATAAACAATAAAAAAAATTAAAAACTTTTGAAATAAATAGCTTCTACTCAGTTTGAGAAGTCATTGAAATTAACATTAAAAAAAAAAAATTGTTATCTAAGTTCACGTCCTGAATGTACTGCTTTCAATTCAAATTGACACCAGCTCTGGTAGCCGTGTAAAGGAATTTGTCTGCAATGTGAAAACGACTGTGTGATACAGGCCGGGCGGCACAATCACAGCCACTCTGGTCTGGTAATAATCAGGATTTGAAATTAGAAACATTGATCAAATCAAATTGTATTTGACACGAAAATTACATAACAATATCGAGGCTATATACAGGGGGTACCAGTACCGAGTCAATGTGCGGGGGTACAGGTTAGTCGAGGGAATTTGTAAAGTGACTATGCATAGATGATAAACAGCGAGTAGCAGCAGTGTAAAAACAAAGGGGGGGAGGGGGGGTCAATGTAAATAGTCTGGGTGGCCATTTGATTAATTGTTCAGCAGTCTTATGGCTTGGGGGTAGAAGCCAGGTCTCTGACCTCCTCCC